GACCATCGTCAAGTCGGTCAAGAAGACGCACCGCCTGATGGCCGTCGAGTCCGGCTTCCCCGCCTTTGGCGTCGGTGCCGAGATTCTCGCCCTGACCATGGAGTACGCCTTTGACTACCTTGATGCTCCCGCCCAGCGCGTCACTGGCGCTGATGTCCCGACCCCGTACGCTGCCAAGCTGGAGGAGATGGCCTTCCCCACCGAGCCGCTCATCGAGCAGTACGCGGCCAAGCTGCTCCGTCTCTAAGCGCGGAATTGTTTTAACCTAAAGGTGTTGTGTGAGGAGGCGTGGGAGAATGGGAGTTATATCAACCAAGGAAGGGAAACGAAGTTAAACAAACAAAACGGGCTGCTTAGGTGACAAGGAAGGGGATCCGGCGCCTATTTTTGCCTGCCGCAATTTTTTTCTCTTTTGTGCCTGCCTGCTCCGGACAAATGTCATGGGCCGGGATTTGAGGGTGAAGCAGGTTAGGTTGGTAATGGTCTAATAGACAGGCTGTTGGGAATTCAATGTACTTGTACGTTTTGTCTTTGAGCCCTGTTTTCTCTGCCGTGTCCACAGCAAGAACCAGTCACACCCGGCCACTGACAGCGCGGTTCGACGTGACTAGATGGTGTGTATATACCGCAGTTGTCAATTCCCTTTTCTTGGTCTCTCTGCCCAGGGTGCTGTCGATCTACTCTCCGCTCTACCCCCATGCTCGTCAGAGATCCCGTCTCTGTCAGACCATGCAACCAACCATTTCCCCCTTCTCAAAAAGCAACTCGCCATCGCCCTGGCAATACAATATCAAACCTCCCTTTCCCCAAGATGCCAACCCTCACATTCCCAATCCCCGTTACTGGATCTTCCACCCGCCACTACAAGGCCCCCTCCCCGCCACCCCTCCGCCCGTCCGTCTCCTCAAACACCGTCGTCACCGCCACCCCGTCCGGGCACGTCCCCGCGTCCTTGTCCCCCCTCCCAGCCACAGTCATCACAACCTCGCCACCTCTCTCACTCTTCTTCTTGTCCTTCTTCTTCTCGTCCTTCTTACCCTGTTCCTTCTTCAGCACGACGCGCGTACAGGGCGTGAACGCCGACGAGCCGTTGAACAGCCAGCCCGCGCAACCCGGGGTCTGGGAGAGGCACAGCTCGCAGCAGGCCGAGGCGGTGGACGCCTGGGCGAAGGCGCCGCTGTAGGCGCTCACGTCGTCGGTGCCGACCCAGAGGATGGAGCTGAGGAAGGTCGAGGGGGCGGAGCAGTTGATGGGCGGGGGTGGGCTGGTTGCTGTGGGGGTGGGAGGAAGAAGGGGGGTTGGTTAGATTCTTTGTTTTGTAACGTGTGTGTGTGTGAGAGGGGGGGGGGGGTTAGACTCACGGTGGATGTTGGGGAGACAGAGGTTGTTGTTGAGGTTGTAGGCGTGCTGGTGGAAGTTGGTGTGGTTGTTGTGATGTTGGTGGAAGAGGAGTCGGAGGTGCTGGGGCTGGTTAGCGGACGGTCGTCCTTGGACGCAGAGGGTTTGTGATGGGTGCGACAGACCTGTCTCCTCCGGAGAACTTGTTCATGGCGCCGAGGATGGCCAACAAGACGCCTGTGATGCCGGCGGTGCAGATGATGATGGCGATCCACTTCCGCCGCGAGATCTCTTTGTACCAAGGCACCTCGGGGGGCTCAACCCAAACGTCTTCGTGCAGGCGGGGTTCCTTACTACTGCCGGCCGTGTCGGGACGGAGGGAAGAGCGCGTGTCAGGGTCGTGGGCGGTTTCGTTGGTGCCGTCGCCGCCGCCCGCTTGTGATGTTGGTCCCGTGCTTTGGGCAGTGTTGGCCGAGCTCGAGAAGACGACCTCCGGGAAGGGGTTTTGAAGGGTTTCGGCGTACTGGTAATCCTGGCAGGACTTTCTGAACTGGTCTCGGGGAGCAGCAGAAGTGGGAGTTTCCGACATCTGCCGCTCCCGCGGGTTGACTATGTCTTAGCAGTGACACATTGAGAGACACAAGATGGAGATGGAAGTGACACCGCCAGTTCGTGGCTTCCTCGGCCATTCGTCGCCATGAAGGGCACAATCTTGAATGGAATCATCATCTTGGCTACTCGAACAATCCGTTGAGTCAGTGGCCAAACCACCTGCATGGCATTGTGCACTTTGGCAGTGAGTTGTGCAAACGGATGTTGGCCGTGGGACAAACACAACGCGGACTTGCCCGTGGTTTCCATTGTAAGTGCTTTTTTCCGTACCTGCTCGTTGCTCTTGGAATGCCACAAACCTCGCACCGTGGCAACTTGGACCACTCAGACGTCATCCCTTGAGAAAAGCCCATGGAGAATTGAGGCACGATCGTCATCAGAATGGACTAATAAACGGTGTTACCGATGCAACAACATCCAGTGCCCAAGTTCTACACCAACTTCAGCCACATCGACACCACAGAACCCGGATCGCTGGCTGGACTGCCAGATAACAATGGGTGGCACCCTCGGACCCCCTCGACATGTCGACGACCCCCAGCAGAAGCTTGACTTGTCGAAGGCATCGGCCCTGCAGTCTTAACTGGACTTTCTCGCCCGGGTATAATCCTAAAGGGCTCGTGTCAAGTTTCGTATGGCGACTCCAAGCAAACGTGAAGGCGACCATTCACACGACAACCACTACCAGATGCAGACTTGAGTCTGGGTGAGACGTCGACGCAACGCGACAGCGATCGGGTTTCTCCGTCTGAAGAGGAACCCCCACACGTCCTGCCCTGCCAAGCTTCTGGCGGCTGCAGGGGGGTTGGCTCCCAACGTCGACCCCGCCAAGACCTTGAAGAGCAATCCAGTCACCTTCTGTTGGTCTCCCGCTCGGCGATCTTCGTTGCAGCAACGTTCCCCGGCAGCCCGGGTGCCGAGATCGACGTCAGATCTGCACCCAGCCTTGCCTTGAAGCCGGGCTTTCGGCTCAACTATCCGTTAGGTGCCATCTTCTGCAACCATCGTCGCATTTCTTGGTCCTGATCGCAGGAGCGTCCTCCTGGATGAGGTCTCGGATCGACTGCCCTGCCTCACCCTGGACACCTGCACCGTGTTGTTGACGTCCGTTATTGTAGCCCTCAATGCAGACTGTCTTATGCACTCTACATGAGACTGTGCGTCCTCAGACACCCAACCCGGCCCCCGTCAATCCCCAGCTTCTCTTCCCCGGACACCATCCTGCCGTGCTGCCACATCCGGTCTTGGCCAGCGCAAGCGGCGTCGACAAGATGCTGTGTGTGCAAGCACTTTCTTGTCAATGGGGTCTACTTCAAGCCTTGGCACCCTCCCGTTCATCTATGCTGTCTGCTTGAACCTGGAAATAGCTCCTCTGAAACCTGTCGATCATCCCCCTTGTTCCCAATCTAATGCTCGCCCGGACCGGCTTATGCCCGGTACCCTCCGGTCCGCCAGCCGCGAATGCTCCCAGAGGGTATCACCGACCTCGGGTTATGACGAGCCATGGCACTGGAAACCAGGTTATCCGCTCAAACGATAGATTACCCCCTCCGCGTGGCCACACATAGAGCACCTAGGCTCCATCTACGACCAGGCAGGATGCAGGCCATTGGCGACGTAGCCAGTGTCTTACGGTCGACGATCTCCCGGTAGTGTGGAGGTGGATGCTCCCTTTCAAGGCCCGGCCAAGTATAAGACGCTGTTGAGCCGCTCATCGGTCCTTGTTCACTCTGCAGTTCTTGAACCTCTGAGCCTCATTTACACCATCGACAACCACGCCTTTTCTTTGCCACCCCTGGGCCTGTCTTTGAAAACCACCCGACATGCGGTTCGATATCATTGCGCCCGCGCTTGGCCTTGTGCCACTTGTTGCCGGCCACGGCGCCGTCACCAGCTACATCATCGGTGGAACCAACTATCCGGGATACGAAGGGTTTGCCCCTTCGACAAGCCCCAAGACCATCCAGTTCCAATGGCCCGACTACAACCCCACCCTGACTGTCGACGACCCCAAGATACGCTGCAACGGTGGCACTAGTGCGGATCTCAGCGCCCCTGTCAACGCCGGGGAGAACGTGACGGCTGTTTGGAAGCAGTGGACACACGAGCAGGGTCCCGTTATGGTCTGGCTCTTCAAGTGTCCCGGCGACTTCTCTGGGTGCCAGGGCGACGGAAAAGGCTGGTTCAAGATCGACCAGATGGGTCTATGGGGCGACCAGCTCAACTCCAACAACTGGGGCACTGCACTCGTCTACAAGAACCTCGAGTGGAGCAGCAGGATTCCCAAGAATTTGGTACCCGGCAACTACCTCATCCGCCACGAGCTGCTCGCTCTGCACCAGGCCAACACGCCCCAGTTCTATGCCGAGTGTGCTCAGATTGTCGTGTCCGGCAGCGGCACCGAGGCTCCTCCCTCCGACAAGCTCTTCAGCATTCCGACATATGCGCCCCAGGATGACCCTGGCATTACTGTAAGTCTGGACCCTGCACGAAAGAAGATCATATGCTAATGATGGTTAGGTCGACATCTACCAAGGGACGGCCACCACCTACAGCCCGCCGGGCGGCGATGTATGGTCTGGATTCGAGTTTTGAAAGGCATGTATGACGCCGAGGGACTGAGGTCTACACATACTTTAACTTCACTGTCCATATCGCGCTTTTGTTTTCAACGTCTTGTATATACATTCAGACGTGGCTGTCGCGCTGTGGTCCAGGTATAGCATTGTTCCTGGCCTTAGCTAGCAGGCGTACATTATCAGAACCCGTGTTTGGCAACAGTTGCTCTGAGCATTCCGTTACCTACCTTCAAGCATATTCTTTACTCGCCTCACAAACTGTCTCTGCTCCTGTGGTGCCAGGGGCTCCCACGACAGGGGTCACATTCCTATTCCTTTTCCTTCCTCCCTTGTCTAGATTGACTTTCGCAAAGAAGAAACCCACGAACAACCCATTGTATCAAACAAAGAATCGAATTCCCAAAAGTAAACAACGCGGCCTTGCTTCTCAAGGGCAACCGTGGACCCCAAGCAAACATCTCCACTCATCCGGCCCGCTTGGCTCAGTGGTAGAGCGTGTCACTAGTACCAAATAATGACAAGGTCATCAGTTCGATTCTGATAGTGGGCAACAGATCTCTCAATTGAGATCCTCATTCTTTTGTTGAATTTTGCCCTCTGTGTTCTGGCATTTTGCCCCTTGTGTACAGTACCTCAGGTTCTACCTGCATCGATGAATCCGCCAGGCTCCTCCAATAAACCTCCATGTTTCGGCGAGCTCCAAACCATACCCACCACTGTAGGCACACGACATACTGCTGCTCCTTTGACTCCAAATACCCGTCGACCTTGTCTGCAGTAATCCTCCTCGCCGCTTGCATTAACCCTCTAGGATCCTTGCAGATCCCCGTTTACTGTGAGCGTTCCCTCAAGACAGCGCACGAAGAGAGTGGACTGATGTTGAATCTGAAGGACAGATAGTCTCCTGAGCGGAGTTGGAAATCAACAGCAAAACCTCAGGCTGATGACAATGAGATTCTCTTCTTCCAATTATGATACATACCTTAAACTTGCCAGGGGTCTGCAAAGTACATGAGTAAGTGTACAAAGAGGCAATTTGCCTCTCTTTGAATCAGTGATCAACCTTAGAGATGCCTTGTTCTTTTCGCAGTATGATTTTCCTCAAAAAGAACTCACGCCATAATCAACTGTTTTTTAATAATTTTCCCGCAAGTTATTGTTGATGGTTGGATCCATAGTCTACCAGTTCAGCCAACAAGGACAAGATCAGTCAGCTAGACACTTGATTCCCCAGACACCCCCAACCATCCCAAATCCCTCTACACCCCAAAATACTTCGCATAACACACCTCACTCGCCCTCTCCACCACCTCCCCTTCCTCCTCCTCAGTCGAAACAACCCCCGACCCCGTCCCAGTCCCCTTCGTCCCTCCCCTTCTCTGTCCTTCTCCTCCCGAAACCCAGCCGCTTGCCCTCTCCGCCAACCCCCTCACCCCTTCCTCCTCCTCCTCGGGGATATACCCCCTTAGCACATCCCGCACGTACCCCTCCGGCACCCGCGCGCCAGCGCGTCGCTGATGCCCATGTTCATGCGGTGCACGTACTCGGCCTTGGGCTGTGCCCGCCGACGCTGCGCTTGAAGTCGATGTAGACGAGCGTGTCGACCGTCTTCCCGGGGTTGGACGCAACGCCATCGTCGGCCGAGGAGGGACGATGTCGGTGCTGGTGCCGGTGGCGCCGGATGACTCGGAGGAGGAGGAGGGGTGGGTGTTGACGGGCCAGTACTCGGCGGGGATGATGCGCTTTTCGTAGGCGTAAGGGACGCCCTCGTTGAGGTCGAGCTGGGCCTCGTCGGGTGGGGAGAGGGCGTAGATGAGGCCCCATACCTCGGAGTCGGTGCTGTCATCGCCGTCGCCGCTGCTCTTCTTTGGGTTGGTCGTCGGGGCGATGTTGGCGTAGCCCCGGGCGTTGATGAACCATTTGTAGCCGCGCAGGCGGGCGAGGCCGGTGAGGGGGGAAGAGGGGCAGCGGGCGGCCATTTGAGCTAGCCAGAGGTTGCTGCCATAGGCAAAGTAGAGGACTGGGGAGGGTGAAGCCATCAGGGGCGGTTGAGTGCGCAATGTGATAATGGATTTGTGAGAGGTGACGGGGTTGATCACAATGGCGTGTTGGTGTTGGCTGTTTGGTTTGGGAGTTGATGAAGAGGCGTGAGCTAAGCTGGTAAGTTTATGAGTCACTCAATGTGGGTGTCTATACAGGAAGTGCATTGCCTTGATGGCATCGGAGAGCACAATAGGTGACTGGTGCCTGCCATTGAGACGCGGGGTTCGCCCAACTTGCACCCGGCTGATGGGAAGGAAATGGATTGTTAGGTACCCTAACCCTACTTCTCCAACCCTGTTTTCTGACCCCAGCATTAACATCGCCTCGAACATTTACAACAGACGACGCCCAAGATGGTAACCATACAGGCCAACCATCCCACAGAGCAAGCCAAGCCCTCAGCGATGTATGTGCGGAGCATGTCACCAAATCCACAGCACGCCACAACATCGACTCTTCAACCAAGTCAACCACCTCCCTTCAACTGCAAACACCCCCCTCCCCCTCCCTTTTTCACTGCCACAACACTCCCCCTCCACCCCTAAACCTGCGAGCTCCCTCCCGCCAGCCCCTTCTTCCTTGCCTCGTTCAGCGCCTTCAACTTGGCCGTCCCGATCCCCGCAACACCATCCTTCTGGTTATCGCCCAGCCACGGCTTCTTGGAGTCGCCTAGGATGTTGCCAGCCAAGAAGTAAACCACCAACCCGCAGATGATCAAGACGAACGCGATCGGGTACATCCAGTGCACGACATACCCAAACACCCTCGTGCCGATGATGACACCCCAAAAGTTGGCCGTCAACAGGTTGATGTCAAACACAGCGGCGCTCCCCATCCGCAACACCAGCGGCACCAGCGAGTAAAACAGGCACAGGCACAGCGTGTACCCGACCAGCCACCCCGCGACCTGCCCGTTCCACGTCGCGTCGGCAAACGACGTCCGGTCAAAGATGGCCGCCTGCACGCCGTTGATGCACACGCCAAAGATGCCCAGGAACGACAGCACCTCGTACATGGGCCGCTTGCTCACGAACCACTCCTCGAACACGTTGCTCACGCCGTACAGCGTGGCGCCCAGCAGCGCAAACAGGTCGCCGCGCAGCATGTTGCGCCCCTCGCCGCCGTTGGAGCCCGTGATGTGGTCGCTCGCCAGCAGCAGGCCCATGCCGCCGCAGCACAGCAGGATGCCCGCGATCTGCAGCCAGCGGTACCGCACCTTGAGCACGACGAACGACAGCACGACGACGCAGACGATCGACCAGAAGTTGATCAGCTGCGCCGACAGGATGTTGGTGTCGTTGTACGCCAAGACAGTGAAGTAATTCCCCTCGACGTCCAGGAACGACAGGATAAAGTACTTCCACCCGTCGCGCCAGACGATGCCCAGCCACTTGCGCGCGCCGTGCTGGTGCAGCGCGACGGGCAGCCAGATGAGCGTCAGCAGGGCGTAGTTGAAGAGCGTCTGGAACGCCGGGATGATGGTGCCGACCGACGAGAGGAAGCTCGTGAAGGTGTTGGTCGCCGTGATGCACAGCGAGAGCAGCTGGCCCACGGCGATGATGGCCCAGAAGTCCGGCGTCAGAAAGTACGAGTACCAGCGCGTCTGGCGCGCCTCGAGGTGCGAGAGGCCCGCCGCCACGGCGGCCGCTTCGGCCTCCGAGGAGGAGGTCGAGGCGCGCACGTCCTTGGGGGTCGCCGTGGTGCCGTCGGCGGGGGCGTCGGCGGTGCCGTAGTAGGTGTGGGTGTTCTTGTCGTCGCTGGCCGGCTTGTTGGCCGTGAAGGGGGTTTCGGCGGACATGGTGTCGCCGTTGTCGTTGATGTCGGGGTTTGTGCTGGTAATGGTTTGGTAGCCCTGAGCGCGAGCAGATGGCTCGGTGAGTCGGAGCGGTGCGAGAACGCGGTCGTGGAGGAGGGTCTGCACGTCTCTGGATTCACCAGACATAAAGCTTGGATCAAGCGTCGTAGATCACAAGCCAGAAACTCCAGGTATGGAGTGAGATACTTCGATTTACACAAAAGCACAGAGATATGCCCGAGTGTAGTCTTTCTTACGTCTCCTTAGCAAGCGCAAAGACTCAAGTCGCTTGCCGTTCAGTTACTGTTGTATGTCTCGGTACATTAAGTCATGTACCGAGGAGCTGGATGAGTCGAGGAGCGTCGATCCGTTGTTAAACATATGGAGTTGTGAGCCAGAGAAAGTAGCTGCGATACCGACTGATCGCCGGTGCGTGACGTCCGCGCCGATGGCAGACGATGAGGATATTGGATGCAGAAAAATAACCTTGAGCTTCGGTTTGGGGGTTATTCTCGACGTGGTGTTACGTTGTGATCGCTGCTTGAATTTGAGAAAATTCATGCGGAAGTGTGGGGCCGGGCTAAGTGGGGCACCCGGGAACAGCTCCGGTCACCGGCGGCCGGGTTGATGTCGCGCATGGTGCACCAACGCCACCAATGCGCCAGTCACCGCCACTCGCAGGTCTCTCCTGCCCATGCTGCTGAGCCATGTCACACAAACATGTGGCCCCCGCGCGTGCGATGTGGATTACGCAAGAGTATCTGTCCACTCTCAGCCACTCAACGATACTTCAACGGACAGGAGCTTCTTGAGAGGCCTTGACTTATGGCAAATCGGAGTTAATGTCGGTGAGAGCAGAGGACGAGTTCCTTGAAACCCAGATGCGAAACCTGATGGTTTACAAGAACGCCGGCTGAACCATGTCTAGGCCACCTGATCTTATACCATGAACCTGAGATGCAATGGGTTTTATGACGCTCGGAACCGGGTGCCTTTGTGGAAAAAGTCTCAGATATCCGCGTCTTGCACCCATTTTGGTCCTCGTGCTGGCGCTTCTTCTAGAAGCCAGGCCATCAAAATGCATAAGCAAATGGATTTGCCCAAGATGCGCCTGTGACACCGACTCTCAGGTGCATCATGCCGGGTGGTGAGGGGGCCATGATCCGACTAGTCTGCCCTGTCCCCGGTTTGGGATTGGATGGCCTTGGGAGACAGTGGGAGAAATGCTGCAGATGATGCGGCTTTTTTCAGCAGCACTCGCACGCAGCTTGCATTCTGTGAAGAGGCATGCCCTGAGTGTGGAACTCCCATGGTGGTTCTGAGGTCGAGAATTATCCTCGGCTGCTGTATCCGATCTCAGTTGTATTTATATCCAGAAACAAAGGGGGATATCGGAGCTTATTTCATGGGGAATTCGAAGTCTGTCTCCGCAAAGCGAAACCCGTCGGTGCCAAAAATGGAGTCGGGCCTACATCCTGTACCTCTGCGAGAGGGTGGGAATACTGTGTATGGCAAATGCTGTCCGGATTGGCTGACATGAGAGTCCCCGCAGGAGCCGTGGTAATGGTTTTCAGAACCGCCTCAACTTGGAGTGTGTTGTACATATGTACATACATATCTGCCATGTCTGTGTTGGGACCGTTCTGCCGACCCGATTATTAAACGTCATGTCGCAACACAGGCTGGCGCTCTGTTGGATCGATCGCACCAGG